CCCCTTTCCCACTCCCTCTCCCCTTCCATTCACATCAAGATTCATTTTCGATTCTCTTTATATACACAAGATCAGTTTAGCATACATTAAGTAAAGATTTCAACAGTTTGCTCCCACACAGAAACATAAAGTGAAAAATAATAGATGATTTTTTAAATGATGATGAAATCAGATCAGACCTATTGTCATGTTTAATCCCAGTGAGAGTCAAGTTGGGAATTGATAATTTCTTTTTTTTTTTTTTACAGAGGATCAGTTTAGTATACATTAAGTAAAGATTTCAACAGTTTGCACCCCCATAGAAACACAAAGTGAAATATATTGTTTGAGTACTCGTTATAGCATTAAATCTCAATGCACAGCACATTGAGGACAGAGATCCTACATGAGGAGTAAGTGCACAGTGACTCCTGTTGTTGACTTTACAAATTGACACTCCTGTTTATGGCATCAGTAATCTCCCTATGCTCCAGTCATGAGTTTCCAAGGCTATGGAAGCCTTTTGAGTTCTCCGACTCTTATCTTGTTTAGACAAGGTCATAGTCAAAGTGGAGGTTCTCTCCTCCCTTCAGAGAATGAACTAATGACTCTTAAGTCAAACCCATCATAAATCTCTATGTGTTTGCATATGATCTAGAGATTCTTGAGTTGTTTATTTCCAGCTTCATTCCATTGTGGTCAGAGAAGATGTTTGGTATGACTTTGATTTTTTTGAATTTGCTGAGACTTGTCTTATAGCCTAGCATATAGCCTCCCAGAGAAAGTTCAGTGCACTGATGTGATGAATGTGTATTCTGTAACTGTGGAATGAAAAGTTCTGTAGATATCCTTTAGGTCCATTTGGTCCATAGTGTCAATTAGCTCTGTTGTTTATTGATTTTCTATCTAGTTGACCTGTCCATTGATGAAAGTAGGGTGTTGAAGTACCCTGTTACTATTGTATTGGAGTCCTCATCTTTAGATCCATTAACATTTCTTTGAAATAGCCAGGCACCTTGTAATTGGGAACATATACATTTATTATAGTCACATCTTCCTATTAAATTGATCACTTAATCATTACATACTGCCTTTCTTCATCTCTTTTAACAGTTTTTTTTGTTAAAGTCTATTTTGTCTTATATTAGGATGGCTATACCGGCCCATTTTTACTTTCCATTGGCACAGAATAACTTTTCCCATCTTTTCACTTTCAGTCTGTATATATCTTTGCTACTGGGTTGTGTTTCTTATAGGCAGCAAATAGATGGGTATTGTTTTTGAATCCTTTTAGCCAGTCTGTATCTTTTAATTGGATAGTTGAGGCCATTTACATTCAAGGTGACTATTGATAAAAAATGACTTGGCCCTGTCATTTTTCTGTAAATATTTCTATTGTCTACCTTGGGCTTCTTTTGTACTTTTACTGGAGGATTTTTTTGCCTTAACATTCTTTTATAATGATGACTATCTTTCTGTGTGCAGCACATCCTTAAGCATCTTTTGTATGGCTGGATGAGTGTGACAAATTCTTTCAATTTCTGTTTGTTATGGGAGGTCTTTATTTCACCATCATTCATAAATGAGAGCTTTGTAGGGTACAGTATTCTTAGTTGACAGTTTTTCTCTCTTAAGGCTTGGACTATGAGAAAATCAGCTGTGAGTCTAATTGGATATCCTCTTAAAGTAATCTGGCATTTCTCTTGTGCACATTTTAGAATCTTTTCCTTATGTTTTACTGTGGAGAGTTTGATCATAGTGTGTCATGGTGAAGATCTATTCTGATCATTGTGAGTTCTATGTGCTTCCTCTACTTTGACATCCCTCACTTTCTCCAAAATGGGGAAGTTTTCTGTAATTACTTCACTAAATAAGCCTTTTAGTCCATTCTCTCTTTACACACCTTCAGGAACTCCTAAGACCTGTATGTTGGGTTGTTTGATAGTATCCCATAGATCTCCAACACTGTTTTTATTTATTTATTTATTTATTTTTTGACAGGCAGAGTGGACAGTGAAAGAGAGACAGAGAGAAAGGTCTTCCTTTTGCCATTGGTTCACCCTCCAATGGCCACCGCAGCCAGCGTGCTGTGGCCAGTGTACCGCGCTGATCTGAACCAAGAGCCACGTGCATCTCCTGGTCTCCCATGGGGTGCAGGGCCCATGCACTTGGGCCATCCTCCACTGCACTCCCGGGCCACAGCAGAGAGCTGGCCTGGAAGAGGGGCAACCGGGACAGAATCCGGCGCCCCGACTGGGACTAGAACCTGGTGTGCTGGCGCCGCAAGGCGGAGGATTAGCCTAGTGAGCCGCAGCACTGGCATACTGTTTTTATTTTTAAATGTTCTCCTTCTCCTTCTCCTTCTCCTGCTTCTTCTTCTTTTTCTTCTTTTGGTCTGACTGAAAGATTTCCAAAGTTTTGTTGTCTAGCTCAGTTATTCTTTCTCCTGCCTCATCACATCTGTTATTAAGGCTATCCACTGTATTTTTATTAGATCTATTGATTTCTTCATGTCTAATATTTTGATTTCTCTTTAAAATCTCAATTTCATTGGAAAACCTTTCTTTCATGCCATATATGGTTTTCTTTAGTTAGTGGATTTGCTTCTGATTGCTTTTGTGTGATTCTATGATTAATCACTTGAATTTTGTTTCTGGCTTTTCATCCATCTCTTCATCTTCACATTCTAATGTTGAAATGTTCTGTTCTTTTAAGGGGGGAGGTGGTCATGGTCTTTCTTGTTCTTATTTATTGAATTTCTGTATTTATTTTTAGGCATATTTGGAATTACTTTTTGATTTTTTTCCTATTACCGCTTTTATCTTTGAGCTATGCATCTGTGGCTTAGTGGAATGTCTGCACTTCCAGTGAATACCAAGATGCATGGGGTGGATATGGCCAGAGAGCTCTGCTCAGTGCCCCAGGGTGGGGTGAGTATCTAGGGTGACACTAAAGTTGGGTGTGGTAGATCTATTTTTGTTAACAGAAGTAGGGGGAATGGTCGCCCCCTCACCTCCTCTTCTCCATGCTGAGCAATGCCTGGTTGTTAGCCCACAGGCTTTCAACACTCACGTGAACTGCACAAATGATATGCACACTCCTCACTGTGAGGCTGGTTCCTGCTGAAATGACCCTCTCCCAGACAACCAAGGAGCTCTGAACATGTGGAGCTGTACTCAGTGATTTCTCAGAGCCCCAGCTATGCCCTGCAACCTCTTATGCAGCTACCAATTGCCCAAATTTCAGCACACGAGGCTCCCACAGTCACTTTGTGCAGAGGTACTGCTCTGCCTTGCCAGCCAGACCAGTCAACAGAGAGGCAGATGTTCCCCGTGCCAGCTCTGGCTTGAGCCCCAGAGCCTGTGGTATGTTGAGACACCTCATAGACATAAATGGGTGCCTTGCCACCTGTCGATCTTCCCAGCCAGGCTGAAAGTCAGTGGGGTCTGCAGATTTTTCCCTTTGCTAGAATCTCTCAATTACACAAGTATATAAGAGCCACTGGCCAAATGTTGCCCTCTCCCCACCACTGTCACCAGTACTGCTGAGAAGATGGTGTCCTGTCTAAGCCAGTTGCTGTGCGTGCACACAAAGGCTTCCACAACTGTCACCCAAACCCAAAACGGCATCTGCCCTTTCACAGCTGGGCAGCAGGTGCTGTTGTAGGGAAGATGGGGTGATAAAATGTACCTCTTTTACTTCCACTGGGCCCACAGTTAACCCCTAGCCCCTAGGGTTCCAGTTAGGACTCATACCACACTCTCCCTCCGGCTATACACAATGAGTTGCTGCAGTCTGTTCTCACCTCCATCTCTAAGCTACTGCCAGCTCCAGCTCTCAACTGCTGCTATGTGATGTGTCTGGGTTCCTGTCGCTTGTCTGCACCTTCTACACAGGTCCATGGCATTCTTCTTTCTTTTGTAGAATTTCCATTGTGGTTTTCTAATTCTCCCGTGGGAAACAGTGCACTTCTTACACTCTTTTTAAAAACTATTTATCCCCAGCCTAGCACAGTATGTTGTTCCCTCTTCTGCCATCTTGGAACCCAAAATTTCACAATTTTGATATTACATCTGTGATTAGACTTAAGCATTACTTGTTGGTTTTTATATTCCTCTGTATTCCCCCCTTCTCTGTGTCTAATTAATACTACATTTGACAACGGGGCCGCAAAGCTGGTTAAGGACAAAGAATGGGACAGAGACCTGTGGTTTCAAACATAGACTCTACCATTTGTTTGCTGAAGCCCTGAAGAACATCACTCAGCCTCCTTAGTTGTAAAATGAGAATAATAATAATAATACTTATGTCATGGGCTCTGAGGATCATTAAAGATGGCTATGTCTGACAAGGACCCTGTCAGTTGGTGTTATTCCATTTGATGTGAGTGAATCCTCCATCCCTAGGTAGAATTCATATGAGTGTCTGTCATTTTACCCGTGCTTTGCAAAATATAGTAATAGGTCTTTTTTCTGTTTCCCTCACTACACTACAGAATTCTTTTAACAAATAGTTTAATGAATAAAGTATACTCAAGCAAAAAGTACCTGGGGCGACCACAGGTTGATTTATAAATTACACCTCATAGAAAATCACTGATTAAGTTATTTCATGTATTTCCCTGCCTCACCTCCAGTATTCAGCCCTATTTGCCCTCTCTCTTTCCTATTCTCTCTCTTTTTTCACTCTGAGCATTCCTCTGCTTTCCCAGGCTTATTTTTTATTACACAGTGTAGAAAATTTATTTCACCCCTGAATTGTTTCCTAAACCTATGGGCTCATACTCTTTTTTTCTTTTACTTTTATTTAGTAAATATAAATTTCCATAGTACAGCTTATGGATTACAATGGCTCCCCCCCCATAACTTCCCTCCCACTCGCACCCCTCCCATCTCCCACTCCCTCTCCCATTCCATTCACATCAAGATTCATTTTCAATTATCTTTATATACAGAAGATAAATTTAGTATATATTAAGTAAAGATTTCAACATTGCACCCACACAGAAACACAAAGTGTAAAATACTGCTTCAGTACTAGTTATAGCATTAACTCACATTGTGCAACACATTAAGGACAGAGATCCTACATGAGGAGTAAGTGCACAGTGACTCCTGTTGTTGACTTAACAAATTGACACTCTTGTTTATGGCATCAGTAATCTCCCTAGGCTCAACCTTGATGGGGTTGAATTGGAATCCCCTAGTATGTTTCTAACTCTACCATTTGGGTCAAGTCCAATTGGGACTCATACTCTTTTAGGAGCTCAGTAAAGTCATTTACTGGATTTCTGTGGCTTGGAGTCTTGGCAGTAGCCACCATTAGCATTCATTGTGTGATAAGGAATTCTTTTCCTTACACCCATGTGCCTCCTGGGAAGTCATGAAGAAAAACATTTTCTTCATTGCTATACATGCTTATTTTCTGGTGACTGCCTTCATTTAAAAGTTTCATGTGACATTTAGCATAAATGCTACACATAGGCTCATCATCCACTCATTTGTTGGTTACAAATGGGCACTGTGGATACAGTAAAGGACAGGAAAAACCACTCCCTGTCCACATAAAGGGGACCCACTGAGCCCTTCTAAGATCAATAGTCTGGCCATCCCCATAGCTGACCTAGCAAGAACTCACATTTCCTTCATGACACTAAGTCATGGTCTCCTGGTGACTGGAATCCTCTGTTACTGAAGAGGCTATGATCATAGAGGGTGGTTTCCAAATTTCTGTCCCTGTGAGGAAATCTCTGGCCCATGACACAAGGAAAACTGGGTTCATAGCCCTGTCTCTGTCCAAAGAGTTGTCTCAGGCATTTTTCCTTCTTCCTAGAAGTATGAACAGGGGACCATAGAATATTCCTATATCAGTAGAGTCTCTGTGTTGGAGGAGACCCAGGTTTCAGAGTCAACAATAACAGGGTTTGAATCCAGTTTCCATGACTTCCACATTTTGGTAAATTATTTAACCTCTGCAACTCTCTGTTTCCCTCCCCTGTGGCTCAGGAACTGTAATTCCCACATAACTGGGTGGTGTTGAGATCAAAGTCATGCAGCAGGATCTCGAATCTTGTTTGTGTTTCCAGGGACTCCACTGATTGGTTTCTGAGCACGAATTCAAGCGTCCCAACCTGGGAAACTGAAATGACAACACTGAATGGAAGCAATGAGACCACTGCCCCAACACCTGACAAGCAGCTGCCCATCTTGAGAGGGCTGACCTTCGTCATCGCTCTACTTGGGCTGGCAGGAAATGCAGCCGTGCTCTGGCTCCTGGGGTTCCGCATACGCAAAAACGCCTTCTCCATATACATCCTCAACGTGGCTGGGGCCGACTTCCTCTTCCTCTGCTGCCGCGTTGTAGTTTGCCTCTTTGACCACTTCAATTTGTTCAACACCTCTGTCTCTGGCTTCTTCCCGGTGTGGAACTTTTTCTACCTTGTAGGCCTGAGTATCCTCAGCGCCATTAGCACCGATCGCTGTCTGTCGGTCCTATGGCCAGTCTGGTACCGCTGCCGCCGCCCGAGACACCTGTCATCTGTCCTGTGCGCCCTGCTCTGGGCCCTGTCCCTGGTGCTGAGCGTCCTGGAAGGGAAGCATTGTGGTTTCCTGTTCGGCTATTGGGAAAAGGCTAGATGTCGAAATTCTGACTTCTTCACTGCAGCGTGGCTGGTGTTTTTATTTTTGATTCTCTCGGGGTCGAGCCTGGCCCTGCTGCTCAGGATCCTCTGTAGCTCACGGAAGCTGCCACTGACCAGGCTGTATGTCACCGTCCTGCTCACGGTGCTGATCTTCCTGCTCTGCGGCCTGCCCTATGGCATCAAGTGGTACCTCTTATTCTGGATTGACAGTTTTAACCTCCCTGCCCACTTCCATCCCGTTATGGTCCTCCTGTCCTGTGTTAACAGCTCTGCCAATCCCATCATTTACTTCTTCGTGGGCTCCTGTAGGCGGTGGCGGCAGGGACAGACCCTCAAGCAGGTTCTCCAGAGGGCTCTGCAGGACACTCCTGGGGCGGGTGAAAGCCGAGGCAGCCTTTCCCAGGGAACCCTGGAGATGTAGGGGTGCAGCCTGGGGTAGAGATGGAGGCTCCCTCTGCACTTACCCAGATGTGGCTTATCAGATGTGGCCAGCTCTGCCCCTATCAGTTCTGGAAATTTTCTTAACTTCTGTCATCTTCAGACCCTGGTCTTCAAACGGTTAAGATAATAATCCTCGTGAAGATTAAGCGAGATGGTGCCTGTGACCCAGACACAGATGCAGTTGTCTCTGGAACTGTCCTCCTCACGGGCTTCACCCCATCCCTCCAGAATCAAGGACTTTTCTCACTTTTGAACCATTTCACCTTTTGCAGGAGGCTCCAAGCATTGCAGGACAGATCCGAATTTCATTGGCTATTGACCTGGCACTAACTAATGGAATATTCCATTATTGACAGGAATATTTTGTCTCTGTTTACAGTTTCTGTCCAAATAAAATGAAGGGGGGGTGGCACTGTGGCTCATTCTGTTAATTCTCTGCCGCCTGCAGTGCCAGCATCCCATATGGTCATTGGTTCTAGTCCCAGCTGCTCCTCTCCAAGGCAGCTCTCTGCTATGTCCTAGGAAAGCAGTAGAAGCTGGCAGGAGTCCTTGGACCCTTGCACCAGTGTAGGAGACCTGGAAGAAGCTCCTGGCTCCTGGTTTCCGATAGGCCCAACTCCAGCCATTGCAGCCATTTGGGTAGTGGACCAGAGGTTGGAAGACATTTTTTCTCTTTCTCTCCCTCTCACTGTCTCTAACTCTGCCTCTCAAATAGATAAATAAAATCTTTAAAATGAAGAGGATCACATTTCAATCCATCCCCCAATGAATACATTTCTTCCTGAATTTCAGCAGGCCTTAAAATATTCCCTGAATTTAATAATACATATTTATTGATTAAATGACATGATTGTTGAACATAAACTGATGAGTCTTTAAGTCAAGGCTTTGAATAACATACATTGATCAAAGATGGATCACTATCTTTAAGTTATGGTGTTCATGACTTTCACAAGCATGAAGTTTTATAATCAGGAAAAGAAATACCACGCATATTAAGATTGGAGGTAGCCTGTCTTCTGATGGTTTCCTGTCACCTGCCCTCCATCAGAATCCACCTGCTGCCCTCCCCATCCTTTCCCTATGCCTTTGCCCTGTTTGTCTGTCTCTGGGGGCTCTGTCATCCATCGTGGAGGTTTCTAGCGGGTCTTTTTCTAATGGATCCTGAGAGCAGGATCTATATCAGATTTATCTTTTATTTCAAATAATTCACAGCATGTATCATATTAATTTAATTAGACACAAATGCTTTTAAGTTACATATTCTAAACAAGTGTGTTGATTTTAAATCCTGCATTTCTAATACTTTTTATTACTTTTAATTGAGGCATAATTATGAGAGCACAATATGGACAGATTGCAAGTGTATAGTTGATGAGCTAGGCAAACGAATACACCATGTGACTTAAACTCCAATCTCAACATAAAACATTTTCCATTTTTGATAGCTGTCTCTTACCGCTCCTAATATTTCCTGCTGTTTCCAGAGACAAGCATGGTTATAGTTTCTATCACCATAGTTAATTTCATCTGACCATTTAGGCCCTATATTTAGAGTCACATAATATGTACCTTATCATCTCTATCATCTTTCACTGAGTATCATATTTTGTGGATTTATCTATTCCATTTCATTGCATGAATGAGTATTTATAAAGCCTAGTATCATTAAATTGTATATATGTACCACACTAACCAACCCACACTGATAGATAATGTATCTTATTTAATTCCAGTTGTTATAAATAAAGCTGCTGTGAACATTTGCATTCTAGTCACTGTGTGGACATATATTTTATTCTCTTGACGGAAAAATCTAGAGAATATAGAGTCAAACTGTGAGGCTGTATTATGATGTTTATTCATCTCTGAAGTATGTCAGTCCCTCAAAACAACTATCCTATGTTTTTTCTGATATGTAGCAGTTAATATAGAATACAAAACATGTATAGGAACTAAACTGATATCTTGTAATTTGATTGTTGCTCTTAGTCTTTGTTTATACTTCCTGGAATTATGGTCTTTATACTTGTTGAATATTCTGGTTACTGGTACATCAAGCCTGTGATTATAGAGTGGATTGAAATTTTGCAAAACTTTAAAGAAAATAAAGAAAGGCAGGAAGGAGGGGATAATGGAGGGAGAGAGGGGGAGAGGGCCTTAAGGTTATGCTATTAGAACTATACCAATGATATCAGTTCCTTTTTATATTAATACTTTTTTTAAAAGATCATGTAAAAAAGAAATTGCCCAAGTATATTCCAATGTGATAGTGTTATATCACATTCCCACCACCAATACATGCTCCCAAAAAACATGGTAATGTTAGTCTTGGAATTTTAAGCATTTTAATGAGCATTAAGTAGATACCATTGTGTTTTATTGTTTACTTCCATAATGACATAATCTTGAGCATTATTTTCATGTGTTTATTGGCTATTCATGTATTTTGGGGAGTGGCTATTTAAGATTTTATTAGTCTTTTTGCATTATTCACTTACATAAGCTTTTGTTTATTAATTTTTTTGAGAGGGAAGCGTTTACTCTGGTTTACTCCCTAAATGCCTTTGAAAGCTGGATATTTGTCTAGGGCTGAAATTAGGAGCTGGGAATGCAATCTGGGTCTGTTACATGAGTGGCAGAAACTCAATTACTTGAGCCATTACCACTGCCTCCTAGTGTCTGCAATGGTAGGAGACTAGAGTCAGAAGCCACAGCCAGGAATTGATTCTAGGCACTCCAGTGAAAGAGTTGGGGGCCCTACCTGCTAACCTAAACACCCACTTGCTTTGCATTACTTTTCATGTATGTTAAATGTAAGTCCTTTAGTGTTTATGTGCATTATGGTTGCTAGCTTACCACTTTGGTTATTATTATTATTATTTCTTGATGCACATTTAGGTTTACAAAAATGTAGCACTCTCCCAATCCCAAATCTTATACAGCTTCTCCTATTATTAACCTTTTGCATTAGTATGCTTTACTAATTGAAATTAATGAATTAGTACTATGCATTTCATAAACCAAAATCCATAGTTAAAATTATGGTGCATTCTAGTGTTTTACAGTTAAACAGCTTTTCATAAATTAGAATGGCCTGTATATACCATCTCAGTAACATACAGAATATTTTTAATGGCCTAAAATATCTTGAACTCCATCCATTGTACCTAACCCATCCCAGGCTCAAATAAATAAATCTTTTTTTTAAGTATATGCCAAAATCCTAGCTTCTGTTTTTTTCCTTCTTATAGAGAAATATGCAGTACCTTAACATTGCTTATGGTTACCTGACTGTTTAAAAGAGCCCCATAAATTCTTCCTCCTACATGGTATTACTTAGTACCAAATCTTTCCACAGTGGTTGAAGTCTTGCTTCAGTTTCTACTAGTGGTAGGGGGAAGGGTGGAGCTAGCTGCTTGGCCGTGGAAGCTCCAGATACTCAGTCTGTACATATGGATCATAAGGCAGGAGGCCCAGAGCACTGCACAACAATGAATGTCAGGTAATTAGGTAATTGGAACTGGGATCTATTTCCCTCTTCTTCTCCCAAGCAAGAGGCTATGCTACCTTGGACTATGGCAGGAATGATGTGGAAAATCTTTCCTTCTTGCTTTATTAAATGCCACTTTACTAATTTTATTTTTTTATTTTTTGAGAGAGATCAAATTCATGTAACTTTTATTACTGAACATATTATTGTTCAGTTTCTTGTCAGTTATTTTTTTCTTCCTTTTTTTATTTAGTAAATATAAATTTCCAAAGTACAGATAATGGATTACAATGGCTCCCTCCCCCCCATAATTTCCCTCCCACTCCTACCCCTCTGATCTCCTGCTCCCTCTCCCATTCCATTCACATCAAGATTCATTTTCTTTTTTTTCTTTTTTTCTTTTATTATTTTTTTCTTTTGACAGGCAGAGTGGACAGTGAGAGAGACAGAGAGAAAGCTCTTCCTTTTGCCGTTGGTTCACCCTCCAATGGCTGCTGCAGCCGGCACACTACGGCCGGTGCACCACGCTGATCCGATGGCAGGAGCCAGGTGCTTCTCCTGGTCTCCCATGGGGTGCAGAGCCCAACACTTGGGCCATCCTCCACTGCACTCCATGGCCACAGCAGAGAGCTGGCCTGCAAGAAGGGGAAATGGGACAGAATCCAGCACCCTGACTGGGACTAGAACCCGGTGTGCCGGCACCGCAAGGCAGAGGATTAGCCTAGTGAGCCGCAGCGCCGGCCAAGATTCATTTTCAATTATCTTTATATAGAGAGGATTGAATTAGTATATATTAAGTAAAGATTTCATCAGTTTGCACCCACACAGAACATAAAGTGAAAAATACTGTTTCAGTACTAGTTATAGCCTTAAATCACATTGGACAACACATTAAGGACAGATCCCACATGAGAAGTAAGTACACAGTGATTCCTGTTGTTGACTTAACAATTTGACACTCTTGTTTATGGCATCAGTAATCACCCTAGGCTCTAGTCATGAGTTGCCAAGGCTATGGAAGCCCTTTGAGTTCACTTACTTAGATCTTATTCTGACAGGGTCATAGTCAAAGTGGAAGTTCTCTCCTCCCTTCAGAGAAAGGTACCTCCTTCTTTGATGGCCACGTTCTTTCCGCTGGATCTCACTCGCAGAGATCTTTCATTTAGGTCTTCTTTTTTTTTTCCAGAGTGTCTTGGCTTTCCATGCCTAAAAAACTCTCATGGGCTCTTCAGCTGGATCTGCATGCCTTAAGGGCTGATTCTGAGGCCAGAGTGCTATTTAGGACATCTGTCATTCTATGAGACTGCTGTGTATCCCTCTTCCCATGATGGATCATTCTCTCCCTTTTTGATTCTATCAGTTAGTATTAGCAGACACTAGTCTTGTTTGTGTGATCCCTTTGACTCTTAGACCTATCAGTGTGATCAACTGTGAACTGAAATTGATCACTTGGACTAGTGAGATGGCATTGGTACATGCCACCTTGATGATATTGTATTAGAATCCCCTGGCACGTTTCTAACTCCACCATTTGGGACAAGTCCAGTTGAGCATGTCCCAAATTGTACATCTCCTCCCTCTCTAATTCCCACTGTTATAATTAACTTGGATCACTTTTCAGTTAAATTTAAACACCTGAGAATAATTGTGTGTTAATTACAGAGTTCAACCAATAGTACTAGAACAAAACAAAAAATACTAAAATGGATAAAGTATTACATTATACATCAATAGTCAGCAAGAGATGATCAAGTCACTGTTTCTCATAGTGTCCATTTCACTTCAACAGGTTTCCCCTTTGGTGCTCAGTTAGTTGTTGCCGATCAGGGAGAACATATGATATTTGTCCCTGTGGGACTGATTTAATTCACTCAGCATGATATTTTCCAGATTCCTCCATTTTGTTGCAAATGACCGGATTTCATTGTTTTTGACTGCTGTATAGTATTCTAT